GGGGGTCGGGGGGGCTGGAGCGGGTTACAGAGATAGGGAGGGTGTCCTTAAGCGATGGTGCTGAGATCTTGGAATGCCTGTGCAGTATTCCGAAGGCTGGGAAGGGAATTGGGAGAGGGTGATGCCTCTCTAACCTAGAGCCCCCTCTCCTCCTCCTTGTGTTTCAGGAAGCTTGCAGATGGCCTGTTCCTGCACTGCTGTAAGGAGGTGGCACAGCGATATCCAGACATTACCTTCGACAGCATGATCGTAGACAACACCACCATGCAGGTGAGCCATCTCCCTCCCACGTCTGTCTCTCCCCTGAAGCGGGTGGGGGCACATTTCCTGCGGGGCCTGGTTGCTCGGTACCACATCCCCGTGGTCAGTCTGACTGAGCGCCAGGCTTGGCCCGTTCAGTGTGCCCGTTGATCGTTATCATAGCCAAGTGCCATGTGCAATTTATGACTTTGCCATTCAGGAGGGATGGGTTTGGAGGCACTTGAGTGGGAGTGAACGGGTAGGGGTTTGGGTCAATTGGGACGGAGTAGAATGGGAGTGAGGGGAAGGGGTTGGGGTCCATTGGGACGGTGTAGAACAGGAGTGAACGGGAAGGGGTTTGGGGACCATGGGGACGGTGTAGCGTGGGAGTGAATGGGAAGGGGTTTGGGTCCATTGGGATGGTGTGGAGTGGGAGTGAACGGGAAGGGGTTTGGGTCCATTGGGACAGTGTGGAGTGGGAGTGAACGGGAAGGGGTTTGGGTCCATGGGGACGGTGTAGAGTGGGAGTGAACGGGAAGGGGTTTGGGTCCGGTTCAGTGCTAACTGACCCCTCGGGGCATGTTTCTCTAACACTCCGATCTTTCCTCTGGCAAGCTCGTCTCGAGACCCCAGCAGTTCGATGTCATGGTGATGCCAAACCTCTACGGCAACGTAGTGAGTAACGTCTGTGCTGGCCTCGTTGGGGGACCCGGGCTGGCACCTGGCGCCAACTACGGAAAGGATTACGCCGTCTTTGAGACGGTGAGTGTCCAGAGAGGGGCTGGTGGGTCAGGGCCGAGGGGGCAGGCATTGTCGGAGGGTCGGCGCCAAGAGTTGGCTCAAAGTGTCACCCTCCAGGAGAGATTTGTCTTTGAAGCGGGAGCTGAAGACTTGATGATCAGTAATAACTAAGACCGTCCTCTGGTTGCACCCCACAGGGAACAAGGAACACTGGGAAAAGTATCGCCAACAAAAACATTGCAAATCCTACCGCTATGCTCCTGGCCAGCTGTCTCATGCTCGACCACCTCAAGTAGGGAGCTCATTACAGACTGAATCTAATCGAGGGGTTCGGGGTGGTTTACATACAGAATAACAGATACCCCGGGAGGGAGTTACAGACTGGAATGTAATTGAGGGGTTCGTGGTAGTTTATATACAGGATAACATGCCCCGGGAGGGAGTTACAGACTGGAATCTAATCGAGGGGTTCGGAGTGGTTTATATACAGAATAACAGATACCCCGGGAGGGAGTTACAGACTGGAATCTGATCGAGGGAGTTCGGGGTTGAGTTACACATTGGGATCTAATGGTGGGTGAAATTATTTACATTGGCTTTGTGCCCATCACTAATTGTGCTTGGGAAGATGGTGTCTTCTTGAGCCATCTCTGTTTCACGTGCTGTTGGTGGAGAGAGCTCCTGTATCTTGTCCCTGCCACCCTGATGGAATGGCAGTGTCTTTCCAACTCAGGGTGATGAGTGGCTTGGAGGGCCGTGTTCCCGTGTGTCCGCTGCTGTACGTGGTGGAGGTTAGTGGTGCCTGAGGAACTCCGTTGTATTTCTGCGGTGCGTCCTGTAGACGGTACAC